TTTTTTATTATTTATTTTGCAATGTATTTCATTTTTGTTTGTAGCAAATAATGAAGGAATTTATTGAGCATTGAGGAATGCTCATGAGCAATGAGGAATAATGAGCGTTAATCATAAATCACAGCGACAACAACCCTATTAAATGCTCACGATTATTATGAGTGCTGCTTTTAAATGTGTCATGTCGTTCCTCCAGGAAAACTAAAATTGGCAACTAGAGGCTTGAGCAAAGGGGCAGGAGGAGATATTCCCTGCTGCTCCTCTGTTTATAATTAACCTTGTTTCCATTGGCTTATTCACACAGCACTATAGTACCTGTCAAAACAAGTCAATCAAATGACAGCCATCAAAGTGCTTTCTTTACCCATGTTCCTTTCCTTCTTCTAAGTGGAATTTGATTAATTACGAGGCTGGGTTGGACTTATTGCTCCGGGTTTGATGATTTCATCAGCATGTTCATCAGTATGACACTATTCTGCCTTTCAGAGGAAAAATAGACTGCATAAATATTGGCCCTGTGAGCCAAAAGAGACTTGGACAGTAAAATAGTGCTGAGATATGTTTGTGCTGAAGAAATAGCTGGTCTCGGGAAAGACAGGAGCTAACCTCAGTTTGGGTTTCTCTTTGCCTGCCAGGGTAGCTCAAAGCAGTATGAGTTGGTAAGGTCAGAGGCTGAGGCCAGGCTTTCGGTTCCAGGGAAGGTGCTCAGCAGAACAAATGGTTGCTTTGATGCTTCCTGCTTTTATTTTCTTCTTTGGCCGCTTTGAAGCAGTTTCACAAAAGTCCCAGGACGTGGGACACCAGCAATCCAACCCTCATTGCACCTGTTGGGATTTCATTGACCGATGACAATGAACTAGTTTTTGGACAGCTGTTTTTTACCCTCTAGAAATCCGCAATTATAGGAAAGTATATATATATATATGTATATATATAAAAGTTAAAGGGTGGTTCTGTACTTCAGAATCTTACCTTCTTCATTCTGCATTAATCTTAGGCAAAGCTGCAGCTCGTTGTTTTCCTTTGCTTGGTATATATACATCTTTATGAATAGCATTTGTTTTCCCGTTGGCCTTACGGGCATAAAAGTGGCTTATGTGACATGCTGTAACCTTGCTGCCAGCCCCCTGTTGTTACAGTACAGACTCCTCTGCTGACGAGACATCTGTGCTGTGGTCTGAACAGAGCTCTGGCCTTCGGGGCTTCACCGAAACAGCGCATTCTCCAGTGTTAATGCTAGGAATGGTGTTCTGAGTTGTCAATAAATGCCGTGGTTTTAACCCTTGTGCTCCTTGTTCCTTCTTCTGGTGCTTACACACACTTGTTCAGTCATATTTCACTCATATCTAGCCCAATATTTCTACTACAAGTCCAACACATATTTTAGCTTCTCTGTATTCAGCAGATCTGTTTTGGTGGTGGTAAGGGGTGCTTTGGCAAAGTCAGGGATCCAGCAATTAGGAATTATACATTGCACGGCTCTAGAGCAAGGCATTTTGGTTACTTCCCTGGAAATCACACTTCTCTTTACATTTTAGGCTGTGAACCACCTTAGACTTGACATTTTTTGAGCAAGGCTCTCAGTTACGACCGTGAAATTCTTGTTGGGCTTATCCTCTAAAATCCTCATTCTGTTGACTGGTGTAAATTAAACCTGGCTATCTGTGTAGCGCAATGGCAAACTGCAACATCCCATTTGGGGTACTAATGTGAGATTCGTTTAACTTTTTTTTTAGAAAGTTGACATTGTCTAGCCCAAGTTGGTCTTGTAGGCTCTGCCTGCCAGATTCATCGTCCTTCACACAGATTGTACATGAAGTAAACAGGAGAGGGAGGGAATTTCTCTGAGTGCCTCCTGGTTTTTGGCGTTATGATGGCAAAGCCTCCCTGGCTATAGCAGTCAATGAGGAAACAGTGCTTCAGTCAGTGTATTATTTTATTTTGACTGTTCGGGGCCTGAAAGGGACAATGAGAAGGACCTCAATTAGAAAGCATGTCTTGATGTGTTCCCATAAATTTGAATGTTTCTGTTTTTCAAAGGGATGAAGCTCATTAAATAAGACTAAACTGATGTAGAGAGGGATCCACACCATGGATGCACAAACCTTTTTCAGGTCTTCAGAAAAAGCAGCAATCTTCTGCTTAAATAGGGTCAGATTAACTCAGGTTGTTAACTCAGCCTTTTCTAGCGCTGATCTTCCCACCCGTGTCTTCCCACAGCCTTTCAGATACCAGGAGCGTGATTTGTCTCAGCTCTTTCAGATGTCTCTGTAAGACAAGAAGAATCATGCTCCAAGAGCCCTTAATGAATTTTCATTGATTATAAAGGTAGCATAAATGATTAGTGCCTGATGTCATTTGGCCAGATGAATCCTACCCAAAAGTTTTATTGTGATATATTTTCCTAGCATCCTAGCAGTTAGCATCAATCACTCGATTAAAGCTGACTGCAATCATCGTTCCATTCCTCATTCTTCCCAAGAAGTAAGCTTCTAAAGCAGAAAAGTATAATTAGTATAACAAGATCATTAGGGGAAAGCCACAGAAACTCACCTTATTTAAACACTTTCTAAAGTATTATAACATTTACCATTCCCTGCCTTTCTCTTCCTCAGTTGTCTCTCATCCACCTTCCTTTTTCTCTCCCAATAAACGATGTTGCCTTGTGTCTTGTTCTGCTCTTTTACACCTTTCTGTACTCAAGGCTGTGTTTGCTGATGCCAATGAAGGTAGCCCCATTTACAAATACAGTGTGGCTCCGTATGTTGTAAAGCAGTTACATTTTATGAAGACTCAGAAGGAGAAAAATGTATTCCTCTCTCATTATAAACCTCTCTTTGTAATGTGGATCATAGGTTATAGCCCTTATTTTTTTAGCTTTCACACTTCAGTTGTTATGTATTTGCCCAAGCAAATAGCAAACAGACTTCTCAGCACTGCAGAAAAAGTAACAGACCATCGTTAATGTATTTTTGCAAATGTATTTTTGCTTCCTTGATAGCAGTCCCAGAGAAATGAATAAATTCTTCTGTGCTAAAGAAATATATTCTTTTTGTTTTTGCAGTTGTCCTGTCAGTACCACATAAACAGCAACAGTGGTCATCAGCTTTAGTTGGAAATTAAGTTATCTTTTATTTTAATTCTTTTCATACTTCTTAATTAGCTGTATGTGTTATCCCATACTTCTTAATTAGCTGGGTGTTGTAAATTATCATCATAACTAATTAATCAAATAAATAGTCTTTCAATTTGAGATATAATTTCAGAGATTTCTTTCTGTCATTTACTGTTTTGACAGTATCCATTAAGTAGCCCCATGTGTTATCTGACCTTACCTTTTTAAGCTAAAAATACTCATCAAATAAAAATACTGCAAGAAAAAAAATCAAAATTTTTCAAGATTATATCAGAATATTCAATTAACTTTAAACCCTTATCTCTTTGCTCATTCAGCTGCTAAAGAAGCGATTGGGTAATAAATATACCCTAGCTTAAGTTTTATTGCAGAAGCAGTAAAGCTGGTGAGTTTACGATAAAAAGCCATGTTCCAGGCAACTCATTTTTCCCGATTGCATTCCTAGCCCAGGCTGAACCTATTATTAATATGTTTGCTTTAAGAATGACAGAGCATAATAATAATAATAATTCACAGATAAAACTAGTGATTATTCTTTAGAAAGACATAACTAATATTTTTCTGCACTGCTAAAAGAGATTGCCTGGGTGAAGCAATAATCTAAGCAAGTTATTATCAATAACAGTTTATTTGTGTAAAAGTGGAAGTTCCTATTATATATACAATCTATAAAAAAATCAAACCTATGAGGTAGCTTTTTATGGAAATAAAGCACAGTAGTTTCTATCTTTTCTCTGATTGAGAGATAAAAATCTTATTATAGATGACAGC